CGACGACCCGAGGAGAGGGAACCCACTTCGGAGACCAAAGAGAAGCTCGAGAACTTGTTACGTTTATCCCGTCCAATGGAGTTCATTCAACTTCAATGGGAAATAATGAAGCTTCCTCACAGCAGCACGCTTCAGACGACGTGGCACCCGAAGAACCAAACAACCACGTCGGCGATTCTTCTACCTCGGATCCTTTAACCGAAGACCGAGGTCGCCGGCCTGGGAAGGAACCACTTCTTGAAGAAGACGAGTTGGACCCCAGAGCCTTGTTCAAAGAAAAAAGCCGAAGTGATCGAGCCGAACCTGGAGAAGACATAGAATTGATTTATATCGATGAACCAGTCTTCCACAAATCATTACGTATTGGAAGCCATCTCCAAGAGCCACTTCGGTCGGAACTTATTTCGTTTCTCAAACACAATTCTGATGTTTTTGCTTGGAAGCACGAGGATATGAAGGGCATCGACCCCGGTGTCGCAAGCCACAAGCTAAACCTCGATCGAACTATCCGACCAGTTGTGCAGAAGAGAAGAAAACTGGGGCCGGATCGTCAGAAGGCGTTGGAAGAAGAAGTCAAAAAACTCATCGACAACAAATTCATCAAGGAGGCCAAATACCCGACGTGGGTCTCAAATCCTGTTCTTGTCAAAAAGAGCAACGTACTGTGGAGACTGTGTATTGATTTTTCCGACCTCAACAAGGCATGCCCAAAGGACAGTTATCCACTTCCCCACATAGATTATATGGTTGATGCCACGTCAGGACATGAGTTGATGAGTTTCATGGACGCTTACTCCGGCTACAATCAAATTCCTATGGATCCTGAAGATTCTGAACACACTTCGTTCTATTCGGCCCGGGGCTTGTACTGTTATACTATGATGCCGTTTGGATTAAAGAACACCGGAGCCACATATCAACGCCTTGTCAATAAAATGTTCGCTACGCTGATCGGTCACACCATGGAAGTTTATGTTGATGACATGCTCGTCAAGTCGGTGAACGCCTCCGATCATATAATGCATCTTCAAGACATGTTCGCCATCCTCCGATCTTATTCCATGGTTTTAAATCCTAAGAAATGCGCTTTTGGAGTTGAATCTGGAAAATTTCTGGGCTATATGGTCAGCCAGCGCGGAATTGAAGCCAATCCGGCTAAAATAAAGGCTATTCAAGATCTAACTCCCCCGACCTCGGTTAAGGGTGTTCAAGCCCTGACCGGCCGACTTGCTGCACTCAACCGGTTCATTTTCAAGTCTACAGATCGTTGCAGACCCTTTTTCGAAGCAATCAAAAAAGGTAAACGTTTTGAATGGACCGAGGAATGCCAGAAAGCTCTTGTCAGCATCAAAGAGACACTAGTCACTCCGCCGACTCTACAAAAGCCAAAACCCGAGGAAATGTTGTTCCTATACCTCGGAGTCAGTGAATCTGCCCTTAGCGCTGTTCTGTTACGCGAAGAAGGACTGATGCAATCGCCTATTTATTACGTCAGCAAAGCCCTGCATGATGCCGAGTTACGTTATCCTCCGATGGAAAAGTTAACATTTGCGCTCGTCGTTGCATCCCGGAAATTGCGACCTTATTTTCAAGAACATTCTATAACTGTCCGCACTTCGTATCCACTTCGGCAAATCCTACACCGACCTGATACCTCGGGACGCATGGTCAAATGGGCCATTGAGCTCGGACAGTTCGACATCCATTATCAAACGAGGACTGCGATCAAGGCTCAAGCCTTATCCGATTTCATCGCCGAGTTCACTCCGGCCATAACTGTTCATCATGACAATCAACCATGGGTCCTCTATATTGATGAATCCTCAACAGCCAACCGAGCAGGCGCAGGGATAGTTTTAGCTGACCCGGATAACCGTTTGTTCTGTCACTCGGTGAAGTTTCTTTTCCCGGCAACTAACAATGAAGCCGAATACGAAGCCTTATTATCCGGATTGAATTTGGCTGAATCCATGAACGTGAGACACCTCAAAGTCTTCTCAGACTCTCAACTCCTTGTCAACCAAATTAATGGCACATATGAAGTCAAAGAACCTCGGTTGACACCTTACCTCTCTTTAGCCAAACAAAAATTGTCAAAATTCTCCGTTGAAGTTGAGCATATCCCTCGGACTCTTAATGTTCAAGCAGACGCCTTATCTCGGTTGGCATCCAGCACCGGGATGGAAAGCGCGGAGTATGTCCAAATCGGCCAGCAAGAGCAACCGTCGACTACACTTTCCGAGGTCGCAACTATCGATCCGGTCACACAACAAAAACCGCCGACTTGGATGGATCCCATTATCCTTTATCTAGAAACTGGGGCCTTGCCCCCGGATCCAAAAGAAGCTCGAGCACTTCGGATTCGAGCAGCTCGGTATACACTAGACAACGGGACCTTGTTTAAGAGGGGATACTCCGTCCCACTTTTAAAGTGCGTGAGTGAATCCGATTCACGGTATATTCTCGAAGAAGTCCACGAAGGGATTTGCGGAAGTCACCCCGGCGCGCAAGCCTTATCTTATAAAATCCTGCGACAAGGCTATTACTGGCCGACCTTAAAAACTGATGCTGCCACATGGGTACGTAAATGCCCGAAATGCCAGGTATTTGCACCAAATATTCATCAGTCTCCCGAGGAGCTCAAATCGATCTACAGTCCATGGCCTTTCGCCAAATGGGGGATCGATCTCATAGGTCCCTTGCCAACCGGAAAAGGAGGTGTCCGATTTGCCATCGTAGCCGTTGATTACTTCACTAAGTGGGCCGAGGCCGAGCCATTAGCCACGATAACCGAGCAAAAAGTTTTTGACTTCGTATGGAAATCAATCATCTACTGCTTCGGAGTACCGAATTCCATCATTACCGACAACGGTCGGCAATTTGAAGGCAAACGACTTGAGTCCCTATGCGAAGAATATAACATCAAACACTTCTTTTCATCACCTTATCACCCGCAATCCAACGGCCAAGTGGAAGCTGTAAACAAGCTCATAAAGAATGGCCTCAAAGTCCGACTTGATGCCGCTAAAGGAGCTTGGCCTGAAGAACTGCCACATGTCTTATGGGCCTATCGGACAACAACTCGAACTTCTACTGGTGAAACCCCATTTTCCCTAACTTATGGCTCAGAAGCCGTGGTTCCAGTCGAGCTCGGAGAACCGACATACCGAGTTCAACATTTCACCGAAGAGGCCAACTCGGAAAATATAAAAGCTAATCTGCACTTGCTTGAAGAACATCGTACCCGGGCCGAACTCAGGAATGCGGCTTACAAACAAAGGAGCGAGAGGTATATCAATTCAAAACTCAAACCTCGCTCATTCCGAGTTGGAGACTTGGTTCTCAAACGTATAATGGGGCCTGACCCCGGACCACTCAAACCAAAGTGGGAGGGGCCTTATCAAGTCACTGAGGTTCTACCTCATGGAGCATATCGGATTGCTCATCTCGACGGGACACCTCATCAATATCCCTGGAATGCTGTGTTTTTGAAAAAGTTCTATCAGTGAAGGATCCGAAGTCGGATAGCCGACCTTCCTTTTGCACGGACCTTCTTTTGCCTCGGTAAATGCATGAAGTCACCCCTTTTGCACCCCTTTTTGATGTACCGAAAAGCCAGTCGGCTTTCACTTTTGAAAATTTGAGCAACAGCTCCTTACTAATGTAAACATTTTGAAACTCGGTTCTATAAATACTTTGTACCGATGTAAGCACTGCGACACTCGGTCTAGCTGATACCTCATAATATATCCGAAAACCATCTATATTCGGATGGGGGTGATGCTCGTCAAGCGTCATTTCAACATACATGATTTGACGGACTCCGAATATTACCGAATACCAAAGATATAAATCGGTTGGGGCCATTCCATAATCGAACTCTGACGAAGTTCGGTGGCTTCTATTTTATTTCCAGTACAACCCTAAAAATGTGTTAAGTTTTGCGAAGTTATTTGAAAACTCGCATATCGACTTGCACTTGTGGCTGAAATCATTACGAACAATCAAAGTGGAATTCGGATATTATTTTCGCGAAAATTTACAACTCGATATAAATAAATCCGGGTTGAAGCAATTCATTTTATAAAATTTGTACCGAATTCGAAACACTTTGACAAAATTGCTGAAAAATGAACAGCAAAAGTAACTCACAAAGAATATTATGCAAACATATCGTATATATTCCATAGAAATGTCAGAAATACCAAACATATTTTCCTACTAAGGGACTCAGTTATCTGATATCCCCGATTACATATTATCAACCTCATATATTTCCTGCTAAGGATGCCGACATGCCGACACCCCGACTATATAGTGCAAATATATTAATATAAAAGGAACGGAAATTTCAGGCGCCGTCGTCCTTCTTCTCCACGTCGGTCCCGGTGCCACTACCTTCTCCAACTTCAACTCCTGAGGATAGACGTTCCAGAACTTGCGATTCCTTTGCCTTGGCCGCAATCTCGATGGCTCCATCCGACACCGGCACCAACTCGTCACGAGGGTCTCGTACCTTACCCACATCATCCTCAGCCGGCGTGAAGACTTTGACAATCTCGACCTCCTTGTCGGCCGACTTAGCCTTCTCCTCAATGTAGGCCTTAACCCTACTCTGAATCTGCTTCGGGGTCATGTCGTCGAAATGCTGCTTGACCTCCACATCGGCAAGGGTTGAAAGATATATATCAGCCAGCTCCTTCCTTTTCTCTTTCTCGCCCTCCAAAATCATGTTGACATAGGCACGACGGAGAAGAGCAGCTCTATCTTCAGAAAGCGGCGCCAAGTCGGGATTTGCGTTTATCTCTTCGGATCGACGAAGCATCCAGACGCAAAAGTCTCGTTCATCCTCATCCGCCTCCACGTGCATTCCTTTTATTTCGGTATCAAAACCGTACTTCTCAAGTTTGCGGAACAAGAACAAACGGATATCATCAATATCATAATAGCCCGCGTCATAACGCTCAATGACCCATCGGAGGTTCAGACAGGTGTTCATTTCGATCTCGAGATCAGGTCCCCCGACTCATCATCTTCACCGGCCTCAGCAGCTTCGATCTCGGATTCACCAACTGACTTCGGTTCCACGGCCACCACAGTCTCTTTGCCAGCTTGGAAACCGATCTCATACATGGTCTCCCCATAAGCCGATTTCTCTCGTTCAAGTTTGGCCATTTCGGCCTGATGGGCATCTCTTTGCCGGCCGATGAGCTCACGGACCTCGGAACATTCTTTGCGAGCCGCTTCATATCCCGCTTTTTCATCTGACAACGCCTTCTCAGTTTCCACTAATTTAGCCTCAGAGGTCTTGAAGTGTTGCTCAACCACGGCTAGGCGCGCCTTAAGGTCGGCCACCTCGGCCTCGAAGACCTTCTTCTCCTCGGACAATGCCGACGTCTCAGCCCGCATCTTTTCCATTTCAGCAGCTTGTTCGGAGATCTGGCCCTTCAAGTCAGCCTCCATTTTGGCAGATTCTTCCTTCAACTGGACGATCACCACGTCACGAGCAGCTATGATATCTTTTTTCCCTTCCAACTGCGATGCAATCCGGCGATGATCATCCTCGGCAGCCACCAAACTGACCAAGGCCCTGCCAACACATGCCTTGGCGTAGCTCAGCTTATCCGTGTTCGATAAAGAAGAGACCCCCACTTCGGATTTGGGGTCCCATACCATTAATGGAACACGAGCCGCATCTTTGGCATTTTCCGGCATCTCAATCCTCGACGACATATGCGGCGTCTTCACAGACTGGAAGGTGGTGAACCACTCCTCCACCACACCTTCGGGCACTTTAACGTTGGCAGCCCGCTCTTCATCTATAGTTAAAAAGGACTTCTCAAACAAAGGGGAATCATCCTTACCTTTCTCAGCACCTTTCCGACCAGAGTCATGCTTTTTCATTGACCTCTTCTCCACACCAGAAGAAGCACCAACATCCGCCATCTTCACCAATTTTCTCTTCTTCCTCCTCTCCGGTTGTTCCAACTCCAAAGACTTCGGAGAAGAGGGCGGCACTTCGGTGTGGACGACCTCGGCCGCAACCAGCTCTGTCCCTGCCACAACAGGCTCAGGCTCTGCTTGGCTAATAGCCGCAACATTCATAACCGGCGGCACCTCGGTAGTTGTCACCTCCTGCAAGGACTTCGGGCTTTCCGGAATAGCCGCCGAAGTCGCACTTGACCCCACCTCGGTCGATTTTTTACCAACATTCTTTTGACCCGCAGTTTTCTTCACCAAAGCGCGAACTAAATCCCTCCTCATGATGTTGTTTAAACGCAAATCTCGGCTTTTACCGAACTTGGACTGCAGATCCTTGTTGGGGTACTTGCGTCTGAACTCCTTAGCCTCCTTGATTGTGCTATAGCCTAGGAATCCGAGGAGTGGATAGTATACTGCGGTCAAAATCAATTAAAGTTATTCACAACTATTCGATATACAAAAAAGCGCAGGTAAAACCAACAACTAAGGAATGTTCATTACCGGGGTCAAACTTGACAGTAGTAACTCCGGGAGATAATCCAGCTGCTTCAAGTATTGAATCAACAACAAGCTTGCGATAATCTCGGACCTCCTTATCCAAACTAGCAAGTACGATTAATTTCCCACCGAACTCTGGACTCAATTTCGGTTCCGTTTGTTTGGTCTCTTTTTCTACAAAGAGCAAAAGTTCCGACCTGTTAGTACACAGAACAAGGCAAAATCAGAGAGGTATATCCAAATCAAAAAATAAAATAGACTCACTTGCTCCGGAATGAATGAACATCGGAATCGTCATCCCGTCAATCCGAGGTTCATGAAAGAATCTCTCAGACTGCCACTCTCCCCCAATCCACAACCACTCTTCCTGGAATCCATGAAGAGTTTCTGGGATGTCGGTTATT